AGATTACTATAAAGAGGTTGTCATAATTACATTACATTTCATATGCTCATCATAAGCAACAGAAAAGGGAATGAGGAGAACAGTGCCTTGAAAATTGGCTTGTAGGTGGAGCTCCAATAATTCTAATAGGGGAAGTACTGGTTTAGATTGTATGGTTGTCTAAAGAAATTACGTAGAAGAGTACATTTTAAAGTTGAACTGCACAGTTTCTAGAGTGGGTGGGCTATTGCCATAAGGTGCAAGAATGCACAGCATACTTAAATTCTAAGGCCCCATTCACACAGGAATCGGCCGGCACGTACAGCTCAGTGCTGTGTGCACGGCCGTATTGGGCAGCTCCCGGGAAAAAAACCGTGCGGGTGAGTGTACTCGTACACTGACAGGATGGATCCTGTCTGAGTCCGAGCCAGGAAACACGCACCTGCACGGACGTGCACTTGAAATTATGCCGGTTAAAATAGTGCTTGCAGGTCAGTGCAGCGGTCAGGAGGCTCTGACGCAACAGAGTACAAAGTTACTTACTACTGACCTCTGCACTCTGTATGTTTCTTACTACTGACCGCTGTACTTTGTGCGTTACTTCCTTAGGGTTAGGGTTTTGTCTATAGTTATTTGTAGAATTAGATACGAGACAAAAATAAAATTCTAGCTCTAGGAGCTGTGAATTCCTGGCTGTTGGTATTAAAGGCTGGTCTTAAAATATGCAATTGATAGTTCATTTTTTATTATCGTTTGCATTTTTTCATTATGGGTGTAAGTGGGGGCCTCACGTTTGAGTTTCGCCTAAAGCCTCACAACGTCTAGAGCCGCCTCTGTTCACACATACTCCAGAAACACGTACCATACTGACGACACCAATAACATGTGGGCAAAGCACAGATTTACTTATAAAATAGTAAACCTGCAATCAATAAATAAATCCAAGTACTAATGGATTCTTGAAGCGGGTGACAAATGGATTGTTGCAGCATAGGTAAGGGGACTTAGGTAAGCTTTCCTATAGCGCACCCTATGCTGCAACAATTTCATTGTTAATTAGGTACCTCGGCTTATATTCGGGACGGCTTATACTCGAGTATATACGGTATATTAAACTCACTTACTGTATGTAACTTTAAAACCAAACCCCAGACCCAGAAGCCCTGGCAGAGGTCCATACATGAAACCAGTATGTAAAAAGTTTTAAGCCTCTGTACCTGGTAGCTGCCATCTGCAAAGGACATGCACCCTGCCCCACACCCCAGCAGTATGAGATTATTTATTGAACCCTGGGGATGGGAGTGGAGCACAGGAAAACTGTGCAAGGTGCAGACAAGATGAAATTAGGTATGATTAGCGGCATCTGCCACCCACTAGTAGTGTTAAATTAAATACTAAAGCAAGCGAGCAGCAGCAACAAACATTACAATGCGCCGGGTTCCAAAGCAACCAGGGTGGCGTTATTGCTGGCGTCTTAGGCAACAACCTTTGTGGCATAGCAGGGAATACGGCTTTACTTCAGAGCCTGCAGAGACGAGTGTAATATATATTTCACAATTAGGTTTTTAATAATAACTAGATGTGCACCAAAATGAAATTTTCAAAACCGAAACTAAAAAAAAAAAAAATCAGGCTGAAAACAAATTTTTTTTTTTCAAACCTTTTAAAAAATATTTTATGTATTAAATAGGGATGCACCAATACCACTTTTTTAAGACCGAGTACGAGCGCTGATACTTTTGATCAAGTACTCGCAGATACCAATTACCGATACTTTTTCTTAAAAGGGACAGGTCACATTTTTTCTAAAGCACTACAAACTAATGCTTTAAGGTCACTTTCTTAATATTATGATTCATGAGATGACGAGGGAGCATGACGCCGGCTTCCCGGCCAATCAGAATGCCGGGCGCTGCGTTATTACACAGCGCCCGGCTTCCGGATTTGCTAGCTTCCTAACCAATCGTGAAGCCGTGCAGCGCGTCCTTGCCACCTACCCGGCTTCCTGATTGGCCGGGAAGTCGGCTCCATGCTCTCTCATCACAAGTGACGAGAGAGCATGGAGCCGTTTCCTGGCCAATCAGGAAACCAGGCAGCGTGTAATGATGCGCAGCCCAGCTTCCTGATACAGGAAGTACTCGTGCTAGGTATCGGAGCATTTGGGCGAGTACGAGTACTCACCCAAATACTCGGTATCGGTGCATTCCTAGTATTAAATATTATTTTTTTTACTGTTGGAGGCTATGGGGAAATATTAGAGGTCTAAACAGACCACAGATATTTCCCTTTTAAAATAGAAAACGAGATTGAGGACCCAGAGTCCTCAATTCCTTTTTGTGCAGCCCCTGTTATAAATGAACAGAAAGCCTCTATATTGAGTGTTCCCGTTCATTCATAAACATGAGGATAGAGTATGTTTACCATGTACACAATCATGAATGAACGGGAAGTAATGTAGAGCACTTACCATTCGTTCATAATTGGGGACACAGTAAACATACTATGTTCTCAATTATTTATAAACAATCAGTGATCACCGATCGCTGAGTGCTTGTAACCGCTCTCCATCCTGACTCGCTGTCATAGGAGGCCGAGCGAGCGGTGCAGGAAGGAGAGCTCAATCTCCTCTGATGGCTGACTCCTCCCCTGCACCCTGGCCCGGCCTCCTGTGACAGCTGTCTCCGCCCCCACACCGCCACTCTCCCCCCGCCCTGCTCAGCCTCCTGACAGATTAGGAGAGATGCAAGCTGCTCACATCGCTCTCCCCCCCCTGCACCTCTCGACCTGCTCTGACAGTTTCTCTCCTCCCTGCTGGATGCTGCGCTCTGACAGAGGAGACACAGAGCAGTGCCCAGCGCGGAGGAGAGAAAAAAGGGATGCACCACAATTTCGGCTGAAAGATGGCACTTTAATGCCGAAAAGTGCCATTTTCAGCCGATATGTTTCAGCGGACAAAATTCCAGCACACCCTCATAATAGCAGTATACATACTTACTAAAATTACTCAATATTCTCCTTGAACACTAGATATTGCTTACCAAATCAGGAAATGCACAAATAACACACAACAAAAGTACAATGGCTGCCGTACATTAGACAGACAAACACTAAAACTGTCCTGCATGCAATTTATGTTCATTCAGTCATTACGAGAGTGAATAACATAGGAGACATCGTTTCATGGTGGACATCAATATAAATCATAAGACTTCAAACTACACGTTCTTGAAATACACATTATTGGATTTTCATGAACAAAGAAATGAGCAATAAATCCATGCCAGTCTACATGTTGGCTCTTGAATATATTTATGCTTACATTTTTTAAACAAATTAAAATCAAACAACCAATTTTCACTAGTTCATATTTTGTCTATGAAAGGAAAGCCACTATATATCAAAAAGTAACCTGGCAAAAAAGCAAAAACAGCCATTTAATTAGGCTATGACATTCACCAACATATTTGCTGTATACAAGTTCCAGATTTACCGACTTAACACGTGGGATGTCTGGTGGTCAAAAAATAGGGGCAATGTAAAAACAGAGAAAATGGAAACAGTGTGCAAATGTTTATTAAATCTACATTTTCTGTCCCAAAAAAAATAATAAAAATTACACAAATGTTATTTAGTGCACACAAACAGTACAAACTTTCCATTTTAGGTGTCTTTTTATAAAACAATTTGCAGGGTCCTTCGTCCTGAGAATATCTGTCTGCACAAATAATGACAAAAACTAATGTTCTTAATCTATTTTTTTCATGAGGAAACTATTGTGATATAATACGACATTATGGCTCCTGAATGGAGCTGGGGAGCATAGGAAAAAATATTGTATTATACAACCAATACTGTATTATTAAGCCGTTTTGTATAACTGTTTTGTATAACGGTTCGATGATATTACATTTTCATATATTAATTGCGGTTAAAAATATATTTAGATATATTTACTGCACTTCCTGAGGAAGCGGGTGTTGTTGTCTGTGATACACGTTGGATTCAATAAGTGGTATCCTTTCCCAATCTTATGCGTGACTACAAATAGGAACCCCTCTATCCATGGTGTCAGACATTTGGCACAGACTGAAGATGTACTGACTGACGGGAAGGCAACACTTAGCATTCACAATATACATATTGTATGTAAATGTATAGATATCCTCAGGTAATGTGATTACTCTCAGGTATGATGTTTAGCTTATTCTATGAGCTATTTTATTATTTTTATTGATGTATGTTATTGCTCATTTGTAAAAATGTATAAAGAAAAAGTGTAAGCTTTTTATAATTTGATGATCATATTGTACCACCTGAAAATTCAAATTACATGGTCTGTTGCCTAAGTCCTCTTTAAAGGTTTAGTCAATCCACAACTGATATTTCAGGTTTTATTAGCTGATACAATTACATATACAGTAAACTCCCCATTATCTGGCATTCAAGCAACCGGCACTCTCAAGCTATTTTTTTTCAGTTGCTTAAGAGACATGGGGACACTAAAAAATGTTGTTGCCGGCTTGATTCCACGGTCGGCAGCAGAATGTAAACAGTGGGGAACAATAGCCAATAGCAAGCTGGCTATTGCACCCACCCACCCACTAAGCAGAGGAGCGGACCTGAGGCAGAACTTTCTCTCGCAGGTCCGCTCCTCTGTCCAGTGGGCGGATGCAACAGCCAGCCTGCTATTGGCTACTGCAACTTAAAATAGACAATAGCTGTCTAGCTATTTCTCCAGCCCACTGCGCCGCCAGGGAGGGTTGGTTGAGAGTTACTATTAACTCTCAAGCAACCAGAAAGTACAGTTATATAGCATCTACTGATCTTCATGGGTACCGGATAACTGGGAGTTTACTGTACATCAGGGACCTGATATCTCTATTAGGGGGATATCTACAGTACACACACACCTGCTATGGAGACCCTGCTTTTATTAATTTATTTTACATTAGAGAGGATGCAACAGGAGCAGCTGAACAGGCAGGGCTGAGTTTAACAAAAAAGAAAAAGAAACCTCTTACCTGCATAACCAGCAGTGACTGGCGGTTCAACTGGGAATTTTGTCAGTGGAGGTGTGGGTGGCGCTGGGGGTTGCGGCCTAGCAACAGGAGATATCGGCTCTCTCATCCGGTTAATAACATTATCAGACAACTAATAAAAAAAAAAAAAAAAAAGATAACAAAAGGAATGGTTAAAGGACTTGATTTGATATTTATACATGCAGCTAAACCATCACCCTTGTAAATGATAGAAAAGAGCAATTTTTCAGAGTGACAGGCAACCTGTCACTGGAATGAACACCGGGCTAATGAGAACATTTTTTCCTACCTGTAATTGTGTAGCACTTTTTTATAAATAAGCATTTATTAGGCATGTCAACGGTAAGGGATAAATGGGCCCTAAGTGGTACCATGTGTTTTGCAGCATGCCAACATATTCTGCATTAACCTTTTCGCTGCCAGAGACTTTTTTTTTCTTTGCACACTTCAAAATGCAAATTGTAAGCCTGAAGATTACTCAAAACTCCAATGATATATTTTCTGAAAGCAGAGACCCTGTAGAATAGAATGGTGCCAGTTGTAATTGTCACCTGATATTAGCGCAAATGTTTACCAAACCGAAATTTTCAATAAACAATGAGGGGAATTTATCAAACCCGGAGCAGACAAAATCTGGAGCTGTTGACCATGGCAACCAATCAGCTTCTATCTTCATTTTGTTCAATTAAGATTTGAAAAAGATAAAAGTTGATTGGCTACTATGCTATAGATTCGGTGTGCTCCAGTTTTGATAAATTCAGCTCAATGCATTAAAATTCCTTTAGTGCACATGAACACTATATCTATTTCTTTAGGTATTGTGTTTGTATAAAACAAAATAAAAAACATGAGGTTTCGTTGAGTAAAAAGACACTAAACATATGAAACCTTCATAAACCTGTGTAATGGCGAAAAATCGCCATTACACAGGTTTTGTTCATGTGGCCCAATCTTTTTCACACCCGACCTATGCATTTATATCCGTATGTGCATGTACGTGGGGTTGACATTTTTTTTTTTTGAAGGGTTTGATTGTTTTTTGCAGGGAATGCATGGCGGAGGAAGATCAGGAGGGGAGGTCAGTCAGGACCAGTGGATCCTTGGGACCCGTGGAAGAGATCAGTCTGCTTTATAGTCACCTGAAATCACTTGCAACAGAAAGCCGACAGTCGGCTGTAGAAAGGTAAACAAACTCCTGGCTGCTATTGGAAACAGAAGTCCATTTATTAGGTCCAACTATGGCCAGCAGGACAGATTGCCCTTGCAGTCCCCACACATACTACAAGGGTTAAATACTTCTTTTGTCTAAGGGGATAGCAATAAGCAGTGATACTTCTTATTCCCCATCCCTGTAGATAAAATAGCATGGGTTGCCAATGTGGCCGGGAAGGACATGACCCTTGTGTTTATAACATCGTACAGCACAGCATGGGTGCAAGAGTGATTAGCCGTAAACCTTACAGGTAGCATCACCTACCTTCTCACGCTTTATTTCAGGCATTACTGTAATGCACCTCAGTCAATGTTGCTCACTACTGTATTAGTGCCAGGGGTGCCAAATTAAATGGTACCAAATGGGCCATTTCCCAGTGCAGATGTACAGTCGAAGTGAAGTTTCTCTTTAAGCTGATCTTACCAATTTACTTTCCCCGTAATCTTCTGGCACCCATTCAACCCCAAAACCCTTTAAAATAATATTTCCAGGTATATAACGTGGACCTCAACTCAGAAAGTGAAGATTTGCTATGTTATAGGGAACATCTAGAAATGCTACTGTGTCTAAGCAGTACCCTAAAAAAATGTACCTTAGTCTTGAATTCATCCTAAAAATAGCAATTCCTGTTATGTAGCTTATTAACTCTTGTTATGTGGCATCATAGCATTATATCTACAGTGCACGATCATGCACTAACTAAGGCATTGCTGCCTCTGACTGACGCGCTGCAATATATTGTTAAAATGCATTGCAGTACTTGCTTTTATTTTTCCTTTTTCAAAATGATATGTAATTCTATCTGCTGAAATGAGTTGCAATGCATTACAGCATGTAGAACCACGCTGCACAAAAAATGGAACGTTCTTTTTTTTTATGCATACTCCAACGTAGTGCATTGGTGTGAACTGAAGCCACAGCTCATAAGGCACATTTCCTTGTTTTTGTGTTTGGACTGCATTGGACAATGATGCCCAACGCAGTCCAACGCTGCTTATCCCCAGCCTCTGCCTGCGGTGCCTAAGCAAGGGTGGTTCTCCTTTCAGCGAGATCCCGGGTAATGGAGAGCATTCCAAACTAGGCTGCAACCAACTAATCGATAATGAGAATAGTTGTCAGCTATTCTCATTATCGGTTTGTTGGTTGGATCCTCAGCTCTCTCCTCCACGCTAGGACGCCACAGCAAGCAGTGGGCTGGTGCAATAGCCTGCTATTGCAGTTTGAAATGGCCAATAGAAGACTGGCTGCTGCACGCGCCCATTACCTGCTGTATGTACATTCAGCTGTCGTCTGCAGAATCTTGCCACTGGCAGCTGTCACTCCTTGGCTGAAGCTATTCAAGCGCCATGTGCTTACAATGTAATTATTTTAAAAATATATATATAAAAAGGTGGGGAAAAACTCATTTTCGGGTTGGGCCTGACAAATTCTGCTGCTGGAGGTGCATTGCGGTGCTATTCATTTCAGTGGCACCCCAAACGCGCTTCCCACCCACAGTGTGCCCACACTGGAGCGCACGGTACCGCAATGCCTTGTGTTCCTGTGCCGTGCGATTGCAAAAAATTGTGCATGCAGTTTTATTCTGAAGTAAGCTTTAACATTAACAAATGGTATTTATTTCATTTTTTTCTATCCAATGAATCGATTAATTGAAAAACTAATCATTCGTTGCAGCCCGATTCCCAACTTATTACAGGATCCTGTACAGGATTTCAGCATCTTCTCACCAAATTTCCATCTCCAGGATCTCCCCAGAAGCAGCAAAGCGGCACCCCCAGCAGTACGGTAGCCAGAAGAAAGGATAGTTTATTTACCAACTTCTTTTCAATACAAGTTTGTTTTCTTTTTTAATGTTAATCTGCAATATGTGACAGGAGCAAGCCTGGAGGTAGTAAGGGGAGCTTGCACTTTACAGGATGCAGTCACTGTTAAGCAGGAAATGTTCTTCCCGACTCAGCTGATTATGAAAGCGTTAGTAAACCGCCAACACAAAATAAGCATTTAGGGCCCCCAGGAGACGTCTGCCATAATGTGCTGGTATGCACAGCATACTAACCATTATGGTAGACTCACCTTGCAGGTGATCCCCTCCAGGGCTGCACTCCCTTCCCTCACAAATGCCTCCATCTTCTACCAGTTCTTCTGGGTTATGAGTCTTCGGTCTCTTGATTGGGCAGGCCGGGATAATGTGCGCAGGAGATACTTGCCCAAACATGAGCGGCTCAGTGCACGCAAACGCTTACAGGAAGGAGGAAGCAATTATGACAGAAGAGACCTACCGTCATAAAAATTCCAGACTTTGTTTTTTTTTATGGGACTTAACGTCCACCTGAAGGGCCTTATCCACCCCACAGTACTCAAATAAACGCATGGGATCACACAGCACACTAGGTGTGCTGCTATTCATTTAAATGCCACCCAAATGCACCACCGTACTGTTCACTGCATGGTGGTGAGAAAAAGTAGTGTATGTATTACTTTTCCCACTGCAACGCACAGCATTGTAGCACCGCGTGTTTAGCACAACACTATGGTGTGAATATGACCTAAACCAACATTTGTAGAGCAAGGTGGTGCAGACAGGGCCGCCCACTGCTCACATTTGAGCTGATTCAGCAGGAATTTTTTAAGCTGTCTACCGCCTGATTTATTAAGAACGCAGTGTAATTGTATTAACCCTTGCAATGGGGCTACCAGTGCACTCCAAGGGTTAAGTGCTCGTTTTGGTCTGGGGCTGAAAATAAAGTTATACTAATCTGATCCTCCGAACCAAGCGGTTCGTAGACTGATCCCTGGAGAGTCTCGCCCCCCCCTTCCGCTGCAGTGATCCTGTGAGTTGTCACGTTCTATACACGGTGTATAGGATATGAGGACGCCAAGGGAAATTCCATTGCGACAGGCACCAGAGAGCCCGCTTTGAGGATCAGGAGAGTATAACATTGTTATTTTTAGTGATGGGCTCAGGCGTGTTCGCAGCTCCACGTGCCGAGCCCGCCAGGAAGCTGACAGCGCGCATCACAGGTACTGAGACATTTCCCGATCTCTGCAGCTGCAGACCGGGAACATGTCCCAGTACCTGTGATTGGCGCTGCGCGCTGTCAGCTTTCTGGTGGACTCGCCATGTTGCGCTGCGAACACGCCCGAGCCCATCACTAGTTATTTTCAGCCCTAGACCAAAACAAGTAGTTAGCCCTTGCAGTCCAGGGGGAAGGGTTCATTTAAAAATGACCTTGTTCTTAGTAACTTGAGGACATGAAAAGTGAACCAATTGGTGTCCTCAGGTAAGTAAGAATTGGCCAAGGAGGTCACCTCACTATAACCTTGAGAAAGGTCATATACGTCTATACCTCTATGAAGTACTAGGTTATGACTATGACACCAAAAGTATATGTACTTCATCACATGACAGCAGCTTCGCCCTCCACATGGAGCAGTAAACATTCCACCCGAATAATGCATTGTTACTAATACAGAGGGAACCTATACGCTGTACGTTGGCTTATGTCAGCACTGTCACACATTGCTCGGGCACAGTGACCCGACCTACAGGGTACACAAGGCCTCGGACACTCCAGCACGAATGACATACAACCCATGTGTGTGAGTGAGCGCACCGTGTCCTTCGTACACTCCCCTGGCTGCACTCACCCGGATCCCCTTCACCACAGTGATGTTATCGTTCTCATCAGCCTCGAACGAGACTCTCCTGGTGCTCCCGCTGCCACCCATGTCACACAAGCGGCTTGTATCCTAAGGACAGCAGCTGGGTCACCCAGTACACAGGCCGCACACAGCAGCAGCTCAGCAACTACGAGCACGCTCATTGGCAGGGTACAGAGAGGCCACGCCTGGAAAGGATGATACTGCTCGGTAATTGGTGGGTGGTTGCCGGGACAACACAGAGGCGGAAAGTTTGGAGGAACACGCTGAAGTGTCACGCTGTACTGTGACAGATATGCTCAATGCAGCCTCAAGCTGCTATCACATGTACTAATGAGTACAGAAATCTGAAGCAGAACTTAGCCCTCAATTGCAAAAGTTGCGAGCTGCAAGAATTTCTATTGCAGAGAGACATGTTATGTGAGGAATTATTGGAAGAGACAGGATGTGGAGCAGCTGTGGTTATAACCAATCAGCTTCTATCTTCAGCATGTTCAGTTAGAAGAGAACTATGGGGTAACCTTTTTATCCCATAGTTCTCTTAAGGGTCACAGGAGGACATATACTAACCTCCTCCCGTGACCCAAAGCTCAGCATATAGCGGGCAATACTGAGAGCGCTGTAGCCGGGATGGATACTGTCGAGATCCACCCAGCTGGCTGATTGACAGCGGGCTCTACCTTTCTAGAGTGCCCTCCCCGTCCGTTCCTCCAGTCAGCACTGAAGGATTGAGAGGGGAGCGGTGGCCGACAGTCACTGCTCTCTGCAGGTAGATAATCGGGTAGTGAGCGAGCGACGGTATGTGTTCGCTCACTTCCCGATCTATAGAGCCAATGTGTGGCAGTTTTATTTTCACACATCGGCTCCAACTATGAGGATGAGAGGAAATCACTCACTTCATAGTTCTCCTTTAAGCTTTCCAAATGAAAGCTAGAAGCTGATTGGTTGCCATGCCCAGTCTTAGGAAATTCACCTATATGTCTCTTCTGCCATACAGACTTCTTGTCTTCCTCCTCTCAAGATGCATGGAATCTACCCAGAGCTGCTCATGCATCTACCCAGAGCTGGGATGAATGAACTCCATTGTGCACGTGCAGAGCTCAGTCTACATTCTCGGCACACCTCAGTGCCACGATAAATGAACCCCTGTGGACAAGCATGGAAGTTGCATCACCCCAGCCTGGCCAATCAAGATGGCTGAAGCCAGGGAGAAGATGCTGGTGTCGGTGTTCTGTGGAAAACTCCAACTTATCGAGATCTCCGACTGGTGACGTCACTTCCAGTAGCAGATTTAGAGCGGATGGCACCAGTGCACGTGCAGCAGCCATGCCAGTGTTAGAATCATCATCGCGTTACCGAGCTCCCGTCACTATGCCTTGGCGACTTTACAATCCCCATCAAGTCCTCCAACCCCCGTCAGTGCACCTGTGCGGTCACCCAAAAGCGCTCCCATGCGATGGCAAAACATGTAATAAATGCATGTTGTGCTATTCGGTGACCGCGAAGGCGCGATGACGGTGGTTGAAGAACTTGACGGGGATTGTGAAGCCGCAGAGGCGCAGTGATGGGAGTACTAAAACTTGATCGGGATTCTGACAGTTTTAGGGCTGGCGCACGCGCACTAGTGCCATCTGGTCTGAAGCTGTCGACAGAATAAGGCGAGTGAGCTCACAAACATTGAATCACTGGAAGGGAGGTGAGTATCGACAGGTTTGATTCCACCGTTAGGTTTTGTTCTCTTATGTTAACCACTTGCCATCTACCTGTTGTAATGGTGCAGATGGATGGAGCACTTTCCAGGGTGGAACAACATTTTAAAATGTCCAGTGTCATCAGCCACAAGCAGTGTCCTGATCACTAGTCAACACTAGTACCAGTGTTTTAGTAGCAGTGTCAGCCACAAACAGTGTCCTGATCACCAGCCAGTACCAGTGTCATCAGGTACCAGTGTCAGCCACAACCAGTATCCCAATCCCCAGCCAGCCCTAGTACCAGTGTCAGCCACAGTGACCTGATCACCAGCCAACACCAGTGCCATAAGGTACCAGTGTCAGCCACAACCAGTGTCCTGATCACAAGCCAGTACCAGTGTCAGCAACAACCAGTGTCCTGATTCCCCAGCTATCACCAGTACCAGTGTTCTAGTCCCAGTGCCAGCCACAACCAGGGTCCTGATCACCAGCCAGCACCCATGCAAGTGTCATAAGGCACTAATGTCAGCAAAAACCAGCATCGTAATTCCTAGCCAGCACTAGTACCAGTGTCATTGAGTACCAGTGTCAGCCACAACCAGTATCCTGATCACTAGCCATCAGCAGTACCAGTGTTCTACTACCATTGTCAGCCACGACCAGTGTCCTGATCAACAGCCAGCAACAACCCCAGTGTCATTGGGCACTAGTGTCAGCAGCGACCAGTGTCCTGATCACCAGTGCTGGCTGCCCTGGCTTTTCATTCTTCATTAGTTGGTCATGGTGATGTCTAGGGGTTCTTCTGCGCACATAGTGTTGTTCTGTATCTATATATGTTGCATCATGTGTGGTTACAATGTCACTTAGTCACCCTGAGGAAGAGTCCCTCCATGGCCCCAAAACGTTGGCTTTTCTGGACAAATTATGACAACATCATAATAAATCGAATCAGGATCTAAGATTTCATTTGGTGTGTGCTGGTGATTATCTTTAGCTTGTAGTTGTACATGGCGCCATCCATGGTATCACTGTGAGCACCACAATCTTACAAGAACATAAAGCTGTATGGAATGCAGGTGAATAACAACACTGACTTTCTGTATTTCGTTCACCAATGTTTTCTTCGTTTTATTTTCCACGTAAAAACATAGGAAATGAAAAAAATGATAAAGAGGGATAACAGTAAACAATCCATATAGCACAATATAGAGATACAGTCTAAATACGTGTTCTTGAACTGCACTAGTCCTCGAAGGACATAAAGACAGAGCAAATATCATTTACTTGTACCATTGTGTTCACAGAAGTATCATAACAGAGCAATACTGATGTTGAGAAAGAATAGAGAACACAGGAGTGAAGGTGCTGGGTAGCATACATCTATGTGGTAACCTATTCCACAGATAAAGTAGTTTAGTAAATGTGCTGAAAGAAGCCGAAGAATTAGAAGAGAAAGACGGTTAGACAAGGGAAGCAGAAAAAGGATAACTAAGAAGATAGAAAATAGAAAAGAGGGGTTGGGGAGGGGAAATGGAGAGGTACTGATGAGTGTGGGATCAACAGGATAAACGTGGACAAATCAAAGGGGAAACAGCTTGTGATCAAACCCATTGGATTTAAGATATTCAACCCATGGGGACCATTTTTTTTAACAATTTGAGTAGGTGTCATTGAGAGTGTCAATGAGTTTCTCATTAATCATGGTTCCTGGAAGTCTTTGGTTAACTTCCCTAAAGTTTAGGGTGGGTTGTTGCCAAGACTTAGCAATCATCTGCCTCAGAAAACATGGTTAGTCAGGAGGGCTAGAGATCTTGTACTAAACTGTAATGGAGTATAGACCTGATAAAATTATAAATGCAAATTCATCATTTTTGGGCTTTAGGACATTCCCACCAAATGTAGAACATGGTGCCTCGGCAAGCACATCCCCAGAAGCAATAGGGGAATATGGTAAGTACATACTTAGATATCCTTTCTGTCGTCAAGTACCATCTCATTAGCATTTTGCAAGAATGTTCCAAAGCTATCACATTAAATTAACTTTTAGCTGTTTTTGGTCTATAATATTTTTCCAATTGACTGTTCATCTGACTGTTCAAGGCTAGCCCCCAGGTTTTGCTCATGTGTGGAGGTTTTACAGATTGTTGTGATGCATTTAGATTTTAATATACCGTATTTGCCAGCGTATAAGGTGACTGGCCGTATAAGACGACCCCCTATTATTTCTGTTAAAATATAGGTTTTTGGCTATACTCATCGTATAAGACGAGTATAGCCCAAAATAATGTTTAAATACACCCACTAACCTCCATGGCGGTATTCCCGAGTGTGGCTCGGGTTTAATTTTCAGTACCATGAGCGGTAACCCCGAGCCACACTAGGGATTACAGTCTCTTACCTTGTCCACGATCCCCGCTGTGTCCTCCATCTCCCGGGTTCCGTCCCTTGCGAGCGTCCACGTCGCACGGGGGCGGAACCGGCAGGAATTTTAAAAGTTAAAAAAATAAAATAATCAGACCACCAGGGAGGCTAATCTGTCAGCCCGCTGGATGTGCAGTAATACTGTATTTACGGTAGTTTCGGCTACATACAGTATACCGCGCTGAGCCAATCACGACGAGCAATGTACACCTCTGCCAATCCAAGCAGGCTTCGTATTCATTAATCGAATACATCGCTCGCCGTGATTGGCTCAGTGTGGTATACTGTATGTAGCCGAAGCTACCGTACATACAGTATTACCGCACATCCAGTGGGCTGAGATTGTATACCCAGCGTATAAGGCGACCCCTGATTTTAAGTCTAAAAACTCTTCTTATACGCCGGCAAATACGGTAAAGAAAATATTAAGCCTGCAGATTGTGTGTCTTTTAGACACCTATTCTCAAGGCAAGTAACCAATGCTGGTGTGCCCATCTCTAAGAGCGTAACAAATACTTACAGGTTTATTCACAAAAGGGTGAAGTGTTTTTTTTTTTTTTTTGCATGTGATATTTATTGACATTTTTCAAACATTCGCAGCAGATACACATGTAAAACCATCGTAACAGATTTACGGGTGAAGTGTTTGAAGAAGGCAGGAGAAGTGAAGAATCTAGGCCCAAATTGCTAATTTGTCAACATTTCCCAATTCAGCTCACTTTTCAGTTGTCAGGGCAGCTGCAGACGCACGCAGTCAGAGCAAATAGTGATGAGTTGTTTCACCTTTAGCAGTCGCCGTTCCCATAAGGCAAGTGCGTCTACCGGTACTTGGATGCCCCCAGGACTTAAACTATATGCTCTGACTGAGTGATGCCACAGGCTGTCCCAAGTGCTGAGCAGAGGTACAGACAGAGGATGAAGAGAATGATGAAGAGTATATTCATTTTGGTAAGTACGACATGTTTATAATATGGATTTTGCTAAACCAAGAAATAAGTAGATGTTTCCATGTGTCTAGCAAGTGTAATCGTTCCCTAAAGAAAGCAGAATAGTTCACTCTGTAGA